CTCTTTACGATGCAATATACACCCTGACTCTTAAAAAAATATACATTTTTAACCCCTAGAGCAACAAAACAATTATATTATATTAAAATTTTACTTAGTACATAGATATTTTAAAATTTTATTATCTTTATTTTTTATAACATTGATCAACTTTGGTATTTCATATGCAAAATAGAGATTTGACAACATTCTTCGCTAGATTTTTCCTTTTCAATTGTGGCATACCGTCCATATTTTTCCTACATGACGTTAAAATCATATTTTTTATTTTACAAAAAAAATATCGTGACTAAACATGATCATAATTTAATAGAATTTAATAGTTTTGTTACTCCAAGAGTTAAAACTATAACACTTTTAAAGAGATAGGGGTATATATTACAATAGTAAAAAATTATGGACTAAAATTGTTAGCAAAGAATAAATGTTGGACTAAAATTACATTTTCCCTAATAATTTTATTTTAGGAAAAGGGTCAAATAGACCCTTAAACTTTAGCTTAAAAGTCAATTAGGCCCTAAACTTTTTAAAGGTGCAATTACACCCATCAACAATTCATTTAGGTGCAATGAAGCCCAAAATCAGGTTAATGATCTGCTATCACAGGTTATTAGGGTTCAGGCCACCTTCCAACGAATTTTTTGACAAAAAAAAAATGACATTCTCCGTGACCGGCGACCGAATCACTTTTTTTTGCCGGAAATTTCGTCGGTGGGTCGCCAGTCACTTTTTTTTCTGCTAGAAAATTCGTTAGAAGGTGGCATGAACCCTAATGACCTGTGATAGCTGATCGTTAACCTGATTTTGAGCTTCATTGCACTGAAATTAATTGTTGATGGGTGTAATTGCACCTTTAAAAAAGTTTAGGGGCCTAATTAACTTTTAAGCTAAAGTTCGAGGGCCTATTTGACACTTTTCCCTTTTATTTTTATTCGCTAAAACTGCAACCTTTGGTGAATAGTCAGTTGGTCACACAGGATTTGAAAAATGAAAACAGGATTGCTGCAACTTGATCAGTGAATCATCTGTTGAAAGTGGAATGGTTATTGCGTGGACCGTCTACCACACAACGTCATTTTGGGTAATTTCTTTTCATGCGATTCATTACAGTATACATTTTTATAATTCATAATATACATTATTTTAAAACATAATATAAACTTGTATAGTATTCTAATTCATAAAGTACATTATTTTACTTTAAAGTTTCATTATTTTAACACATATATCATTCTAATTGTTAGATATATTAAATATAATATATTTAATATAATATATATTAAATATAATATAATATATCTATAATATATATATAATATATATTTGAGAAGAGAGAGAGAGGGAGAATTGAATTCACTTGATTGATATTTGAAAAAGATTGATACACAGCCTTTTTATAGTAAAGGAGAAATAATAATAAAGCTAAAAATTAGGAATGTATGCTCCATGTACTCCACATACACTAAGCCACATACTGCATACACACCACCCACTACTTAATTTAATTAACAAACTAATTAACTCTTGGTTTAACAATTATAATAATAATATTATTATAACATTGCCTCCTTTAAACTAAGTTGGATATATTGGTCATCCCAATTTCCTTCTTCAATTTAAGAAATGTCTTCGTCTTCAAGTTGGATATACTGACTTGTATTTCGTTCTGTAAACCCACTTTACTCCAATTGGCTTCTTCCCAAGAGGTAAATCTGTTAACTCCCAGGTACCATTCTTCTCAATGGCACGTATCTCCTCATCCATCGCCTTAAGCCAATGAGTTTCTGTAGCAGCCTCCTCAAAAGTTAAAGGATCACAATCTGCAAAGAGAGCAAATTGAACAATCTCTTCATCAGACAGGTCATTATCATGACCCAAAACATAATCTTGCAAGCGAGCTGGTAAGTGGCGCTCGCGCTGAGATCGCCGAACTGACGATTCTGGCTGTGAAGGAGACTGGACATTATCTGGAATCGGTTGCTCTTCAACAATATTTTCAACAGCAGGAATAACAACTGAACTTTCATCTTTAGCTAACCAATCCCAGGCACCATATTCATCAAAAGTGACATCACGACTTATAACAACCTTTTTAGTTTCAGGATTGTATAGTTTATAAGCCTTTTAAGCGTCACTATAACCAATGAATATGCATTTCTCACCTTTATCATCCAACTTCTTTCTCAATGGATCTGGCACATGTGCATATGCCAAACATCCAAAAACCTTGAGATATTTGATAGAGGGTTTTCTCCCACTCCAAGCTTCTTCGGGCGTCTTATCATGGACACTCTTAGTTGGACACCTATTCAACACATAGACAGCACAAGCAACAGCTTCTGCCCAAAAAGGTTTAGGCAGATCCTTGGATTTCAACATGCACCTTACCATATCCATGATAGACCTATTCTTCCTCTCAGCCACTCCATTTTGTTGTGGAGTGTATCTAGATGTCATTTGGTGCTGAATACCCTTTTTCTTCAGAAAATCATCACAGGCAATATATTCTGTACCTCTATCAGTTCTCAAGATTTTAATTTCATAACCAGTCTGCTTTTCAACAAAAGCCTTAAATTGTTTGAAAACATCACATGCTTCAGACTTTAGCTTCAGAAAGTAAACCCATGTTTTTCTACTGAAATCATCAATGAAAGTAATAAAGTACTTACAACCTCCATGTGAGGGAACCTCCAACGAACATAGGTCTGAGTGAATAATCTCCAACTGTTTTGTAGCTCTCCTTGACTTGCCCACGGGAAAAAGGATCTCTATGCTTCTTCCCAATCACACAAATCTCACAGATACGATCAGGGACATTCACAACAGGTAAATCAGAAACAAGTTCCTTTCTCGCAAGATAGTTTAATCCAGAGAAATGGAAATGCCCAAATCGCATATGCCATAACCAATTATCATCACAAACTTCAGAATTAAAGCAAGCAAGTAGAGTATGCTTAATTTTCAAAGGAAATAGTCGATTTTGGGACATATTTACCTTTGCAATCAAAACTCCTTTAGCATCTGCAATGGTACAACACCCCTGAGCAATATGTATCTTATATCCTTTTTCTAACAACTGACCCATACTCAACAAATTTTGGTGTAGTTCAGGAACATAGAACACATCGGATATAAAATTGTGAGTACCATCCTTCAACTGAATAGAGATTTTACCTTTTTCCAAAATTGGCACTTTTGACTTGTTGCCAAATGTCACTTCAGACCGGACTGATTCATCTAGTTCGGAAAACAATTCTTTCTTCCCACACATATGGTTACTACACCCAGTATCCAAGAACCATATGTTCTTATCTGCAGAAAAACTATCGCTGGCTAAAAGTAAAGTTTCAGAACTCTCACCAAACTTTTCAGCAGTGTTTTCAGCAATGTTTGCTTGATTTCCACGATTGTTGTCCTCATTATACCAACAATCTGCAATCTTGTGCCCATACTTGCCACAATTGTAGCAATGAAATGGAAATTTACCTTGCTTGGTATTACCTCCACCTCTTCCTTGGTTGGAGTTACCACGTCCTCCTCCTTGGTTAAAGTTACCACGACCTCTTCCACTAGAACCTCCTCTTCCTCTTCCACGACCTCTACCAGATCCTCCACCTCTTTGATTAGTGCCAGTCACATTAAGGGTGACTTGACTCTTCAAAGCTTCTTCTGCTAGTGGTTCCGATTTTGACGCAATCCTGTCAATATGACTTTCTACCATACCTTTCAGCTCTGCAATTGATAAGAGCTCAGTTTTGTGTGACTCTGTGATCGAAGCCACCACATGGTCATACTTCATCGGCATAGTTCGAAGAACTTTTTCAACCACTGCACCATCTTCAATCGTATCTCCATATAGCCTCATCTTATTCACCATATCAATAAGACGAGTGAAATACACATCTACTGTTTCTGTAGAGGTCATCTCACAATTATCGTACAACCTTCGCAACGACTGCAACTTAGACTTCTGCGCCCGATCAACTCCTTTGTGTGACACCTTTAAGATGTCCCAAGCTTGTTTTGCTGTTTGAGCACGAGCTAATTGCCCAAAAATGGAATAATGAACACCTTGGTGAATCTGACCCAAGGCTAATTTATCTCGCCGTATAGCGGCTGCATCAGCTCCTTCGGGTAGACCGGGATCAACAAAGCTCCAAAGATTTTGAGCTTGCAAATGTGTGGACATCCTAATTTGCCAATAATTGTAATCGAGGTTCTCGTCCAATTTGGGACCCGACCATACAATATTGAAATTTGTGGCCATAATTCACTATGAAAAATACCTCGGGGTTGAAAGGTTGACTGGCTCTGATACCAAATGTTAGATATATTAAATATAATATATTTAATATAATATATATTAAATATAATATAATATATCTATAATATATATATATAATATATATTTGAGAAGAGAGAGAGAGGGAGAATTGAATTCACTTGATTGATATTTGAAAAGGATTGATACACAGCCTTTTTATAGTAAAGGAGAAATAATAATAAAGCTAAAAATTAGGAATGTATGCTCCATGTACTCCACATACACTAAGCCACATACTGCATACACACCACCCACTACTTAATTTAATTAACAAACTAATTAACTCTTGGTTTAACAATTATAATAATAATATTATTATAACACTAATATATAAAATACATTATTTTAACACATAATGTAGATTATTCTAACACATAAACTAAATTATTCTATCTCATAATGTAAATTATTTCTAAACTTATAAAATTTAACGTCTTTTTTTTACCGTGATCCACACTACCATGATTTGTCCTGAAAGAAAAGTTAAAATAAAGATCAAAGATTAAGTTTCACCAGGGGCGGCAATGTGAGAGCTACCTGAGGGGACTTCTTGTGATTCAACCTTTTGGAAGAATGATTTGCTTTGAAAGTGGGAACACGCGGGGAAGAGGGATCGGAGATGAAGACTTCGAAAGCATTTTGACTTGAAAATCAGCCCCCCGTAAGTGTAGCTAAAGCTCTCTCTCTCTCTCTCTCTCTCTCTACCAGGCCAGCATTCTTATTTGCGATTTGTGGATTATGGCAGAAGCACTAACCCAAGTAGTTGTGGAGAATCTCAATTCTCTGATCCGAAGAGAGTTTGGATTGCTATTGGGCTTCCAAAAGGAAATGGAAAAGCTATCCAGCTTGCTCTCAACCATTCAGGATGTTCTGGAAGATGCAGAGGAGAAACAACTGAAAGATAAGGTCCTGCGCAATTGGCTGCTAAAGCTCAATGCTGCTGCTTATGAAGTGGATGATATCTTGGATGATTGCGCAACTGAAGCCTCCAAGCTTCAAAACAAAGACCAAACATTCATCAAACGCCTGGTAAGTAATCCTGTAGGGAACATTTTGTTTTGTCACAGGATTGGGAAAAGAATGGAAGCAGTGATACAAAAACTGGACGCCATAGCTGAGGAGCGGATTAAGTTCCATTTGAGGGAAATAGGTGATAGGATGCCAGTTTATGAAACGCGTGAGACTGGATCAATCTTGATGCAGACGAGTATCTTTGGAAGGGATCAAGATAAGGAGAGAATTATAGAGATATTGATTGATGAAACAAGTGGTTGTGAAGATGTTTCAATCCTACCCATATTAGGAATTGGGGGTTTAGGAAAGACTACCCTTGCCCAAATGGTTTTCAATGACCAAAGGGTGTTTGGACACTTTGATCTAAGACTTTGGGTATGTGTTACAAGTGACTTTGATGTCAAGAGATTGATAAAGGAAATTTTAGAATCCGCCACTAGGAATGGTTCTGATGCATTGAGACTAGATCCTCTACAGAGAAGCCTTCAAGACTTGTTAAATAAAAAAAGATTCTTACTTGTGTTGGATGATGTATGGGATGGGGATCAAGATAAGTGGGATAGCTTGAAAGATGTTCTTGCTTATGGAGCAACAGGGTCTTCTATTATCATCACTACTCGTCTTGAGAAGGTTGCAATGATTGTGGGGACTCTACCTACTTATTGTTTATCCGGTTTGTCAGACGAAGATTGTTGGTCGCTTTTCAAACAGCGTGCATTTGAGAAAGAAACAGAAGGAGGAGCTAGACTAGAGGAAATTGGTAGGGAAATTGTGACAAAATGTGGGGGTGTACCTCTAGCTGCAAAAGCTCTTGGAGGATTTATGCGTTTTAAGAAAGAAGAGAAGGAATGGTTATTAGTAAAAGAAAGTGAAATTTGGAACTTGCCACAAGGGGAGACTTGTATTTTGCCTGCCCTCAGATTGAGTTATCATAACCTTCCTTCTGAGTTGAGAAGATGTTTTGCATATTGTTCTGTATTTCGCAAGAGAACTGCAATTAAGAAGGAAAAGCTGATTCATCTTTGGATAGCGAATGGATTCATTTCATCCCGTGGAAGTTTGGAAATTGAGGAGGTTGGAAATGAGGTGTGGAATGAGTTGTACCTGAGATCCTTTTTCCAGGATGTGCAGAAGAATGACTTTGGAGAGGTTACTTTTGAAATGCACGACCTCATTCATGACCTTGCCCATTTTGTGATGGAGGGCAGCCGGATTAGCCAGCAGATGTTACTCAGAGATCATTATCTATCACTACCACTTATTATCACAACTCAAATACTTAAGGAGCCTTCAAAATTCAGTCGCCTTCGAGTGTTGGATGCAAGTTGGCAATTGGAAAAAATCACAAAAGTACCATCTGCAATTGGCAGTCTTTATCACCTAAGGTACTTAAGTTTTTCGCACACCAGAATTCAAATGTTACCTGATAGGATATGTGATCTATGGAATTTACAAATTCTAAATCTGGATTTCTGCCGGGTGCTTCAAAGTTTACCCAAGCGCATTTCTCGCCTTAAAAATCTCCGGCATCTTTGCTTGTTAGGTTGTCCCCTAATTGAAATGCCCCCCAGTATTGGTCAGTTAACTTGCCTAAAAACATTAAACATGTTTGTTGTCGGCAAACAAAGAGGTTTTGAGATTAGTGAATTGCGAGACTTGAATCTTGGAGGTATTCTTCGTATCACAAACCTGGAGAAAGTGAAAAGCTTTGAGGATGCAAAAGAGGCCAATTTAAGAGGAAAACAAGATCTTCGACACTTGTGGTTGTCATGGGATTCTGAAAACGATACTAGTAATGCACATATTCATCATGATCATGACATACTTAATTACCTTGTTCCTCATTCCCAACTTCATTCTTTTAGAATATATGGCTTCAGAGGTACAACATTTCCATTTTGGATGAGCAGTCCAATAATGAAAGATGTCATCGAAATAAGTCTATTGAACTGCAAAAATTGTTTCAATCTTCCACTACTTGGGGAGCTACCTTTATTGAAAATTTTGAATTTAGTAGGACTTCCTATTGAGTATGTTGACAATGAATTCCCTGGCTTGATGAGAATAAGGAGGTTCCCATCATTGACTAAACTCAAAATGAATAACCTTCCAAAGCTGAGAAAATTATCCAGGCAGGAAGGACATGAGCTGCTGCTATTTCCTCATCTCTGCAAGTTGGAAATAAGCAACTGCCCTTCATTTATATCTCTGCCAGAAAACTTACTGCATAACCTCAATCATTTGGAGGTATTGAGTATTAGCAGGCTTGATAAGCTTCAAATGCTGCCTACAAGCCTTTCAAGCTTGACTCGTCTCCAGTATCTGCACATAGATGGCTGTCCTAAACTTGTGTCTCTTCCACAAAGCATTCAGAGAATGGAAAATCTTAAAGTCTTGTCAATAACGCAGGGGTGCCCAGAACTGCAAAGGCGATATGATAAGGGAAATGGGGCGCACTGGCGTGACATTGCTCACATCCCAAATGTGTATATTATTCCGTAGGATATAATCTGATAAGACCGCTTTCTCTCTCTCTGCAATGCTTTGAAACGCATTACACTTGAGGTGCTTGTATGGTGAACCTTTGGTTTCTGCTGTGAAATCGGATTTCACGGTGAAGATTCATTAACTCCTCAAGTGCAATCCACACAAAAGAATGTCATTGAAGGTACATAGTCATTCATTTTAATCAAGTTTGTGAAGGCCAGTTTTGATAGTCTGTAGTTTGGGACTGTATCTATTTCTTCTACCTTACTAATGGAGTTTGGTCAATTAAATTAGATCTGTTTTCTTTCATTTTACATGGAATAAATATGGTACAAAACAATCTCTATTGAAAAAACAGTTAATGCCATCAGCCCCAAGTTGCTTGTAAAATCAGGGCAAACATATATGCACTATCTGCTTTTCAAAACTAAACCCAAACAGAACCACATCTTTGGAAATTTGCTCTCTATTAAGGAATAAATTGGATCAGTTTAGTTTTTATCATAACTTCCTTTTCTTCTTTCATCCCTTCTTCCTTCACAAGCGTGTTCTTGTTTTACCTCCTTTCTATTCTCAGTTGTGCCCCTAAAAGCATTTGTTCTATACTCATCTTTATGCATGCTTTTAGATTGTTTTTTTTTTCTTTAATTCCTTTTGAGCAACAAATATATTGGTTTGAATTTTCATTTTTGTTTTGTAGTTGGGTTTTAATTGTTCATTCTTCTTTGTTGTAATTCTTAACTAGCTTGCTGATAAAATAACAAACTATTTTAAGTAGAAGCCTTTCTTATTGTGCTATTTAGTCATAACCCACGAAATTTGAAGTCTCTTGTTGTGTTAGTAACTTGATATGCAATTTAGTAATGTGGATGTTTGAAAGTAGACCTACATGGTAAATATAAGTTTGTATGTGTGGTTATTTAAAAATTGACCAGGTGATTGCTTTTTTTTTTTTTTTTTTTTTTTTTTGAAAGGTGACCAGGTGATTGCTATTCATTAAGGAATTGGGTCTGCATTCATGCAGTGATTGGAGCCGGGCATCTCTAATGCACCATTTTGAGGGGAGAAAGTCTTGGGCTAAGGGGGGACCATAAACCATGGTCCATGATATAATTTGTCAAGTTGGTGATTGGTTGTGAGCATGGGGTGTATGGTGAGTGCAAGTGTAATGTCGTCCTTTTGAGATTAGGGATTATGGCACGTAATATGTAATAACAAGAAAGTAAGCACTCAATTGTTATACCATGAACCAGGGTTCATATGGTATTGTGAACCCTGATACAAAAATTATATACCTTCAGTTAACACATTCTGTACCTACAGTAAACAATTTATGTACATGTAAATAAATACTTGATAATTGTTGACACATAATATGATAGCTATAGGTACAGAAACTATCAATTGCAGGTACAAAATGTGTCAACTATAGATATATAATCGAGTTAATTCCAGCAATAGTCCTCCGACTATATTGATTTTCCACAATTGGTCCCCGACTTTTAATTTGGAGAAATTAGATACTTGACTTTTGAATTCTTTCCAATGTTAGTCCTTCCGTTAGATAAAGGTTAAGTGGATGTTAAATTTGGGGGTAAAGTAGTCAATTTAATGCTGAGTGTATAATTCCAACATGGGCATTTGGTCAACGGTGAATTGGGTTTAGGCAGAGAGGGAATGGAGCACTGACTTGAGACTGTTCTTCATGTGGACGAAGATGAACTCATCCCCATCAAAGAAGAACATCAATTTCGCCCGGAATCTGTACATATGCAAGTAGTCGTTCAAAATCAAGAATTAGTTGTGGTAATAGCCATTGATCCTCTCTTGCTCCATCACGTCCTGTAATGTCACGTATCCCTTCTCCATCCACAGCCAGAGCACCTCCATCACGGCAGGGTGTCCGACGCCGGCGTTGTAGAACACAAAATGGGATTTCTTGCCCATCAATTGGGCGTGGTACGCCACCCATTCTCGTACTGTAACACCCCACTTTTCTAACTCTTACTTAAAACTCTAAATAGTCATTAACAACACTAAGCAACAGAAATAACTAATAAATAATTAGTGGGAGTGTCACCGCCACAACCACCACTTCGTGGTGATTACACAGGCTAAGGGGTAAAACTATAAATAAAGTAAAAGTCTGGCATCCATCATAAAAACCGAAACATAAGGGGGAAAAACATCACCCCAATAGTCTACATCATCCTCGAAACCATAATATCAAAAAAATAAGTCTACATCCATAACAAAGATCAACAATAAAACTAGAGTTTAGATATCTCTATTTACGAGACTAATCTAACTCGACCTCGTCATACTGTTGGGCCCATCTGAAAGGGGTTTTGCAAGCAACAAATAGACAGATAGGAAAACACCCGTTAGCACAAAGCTAAGTATAACCACACTCAACCATGTAAAGTACTATAGAATATACTTTGAAAACATTTGATTTCACTTGTATACAACGAACTCATCTCATATACATCTTTAGATCTATCATAAACTTTCTAGATGCTTGCAACCTATAATATCAACAAACATGCTTCGATACATAAGACTTAACAACTTAGATAACAACTTAGATACTTCAACATGTAAACTTCACAATAAACTTAATGAGCAAGTCATGCTTACAAGTAGTATCATGCTAATAAACCATACAACATGTATTCTCATGCTCTTAAATTCTCATCACATAAACTGGATATACAAGACTTCAAATATAACTATACGATCATGCTTGATGTACAATCTTAAATCAACATTTTCATTATACAATCACATACGATATTCTACTCAAATGCAATCTTGTGCAATACCATAGTCACATGCAATCTCGTGCAATACTATACTCATACTCATATGCAATCTCGTGCAATACTACAGTCATACTCATATGCAATCTTGTGCAATACTACATTCATACTCATATGCAATCTCGTGCAATGCTATAATCATACTCATATGCAATCTTGTGCAATACTATAATCATACTCATATGCAATCTCGTGCAATGCTATAATCATACTCATATGCAATCTCGTGCAATACTATAATCATACTCATATGCAATCTCGTGCAATAATATACTCATACTTATATATATATACACATGTACACTCGTTGTAAAAATAGAGTACTTTCTGTGGAGGTCTAGTGAGTTTCTACTCACTTTCTTTTTCTTGAGTCTATCTAGACTCGTTTTCTTTCTCTTGAGTATCTACTCACATTCTTTCTCTTGAGTCTATCTAGACTCGCTTTCTTTCTCTTGAGTATCTACTCACTTTCTTTCTCTTTTCGCTCGTAGATGGCTCAGGGTTTCACCGTAGCGTAAGTGACCCCCATCCGGAACGGCGTAAGTCCGACCCGATATCTTCTACCGTCTACGGAACCAATCTCGTGGTTCGCGCGCTGTGGAATTAGGTATCGAACTTTCAGTGTGCACAGCCCCTACCAGGATTCCAAGCCTGGCGGACAGTTTCCAACCTCGTAACGTGGGAATACGCCGCGTTACATACTTTGGGACCGCAATGTCCATAAATATCTCCCGAGAGGACATAGTCTAAATGGTATCCTCCAAAACCTCACCAATATGGATAATACATAATATATCTCTCATGCATCAATCTTATGTATGCAACAACTTTACAACTTCTCAATGCATCGAAGAATGCTATAAACATGCTCATGGTTTTCGAAAATAATACTCGGGCTCACGTTGGCCCTTATGCATTTTTGAAATATGACATATGTGAAATGTCCAAAATGCTCTATAACATGCTTCTAAATCATGTACAAAATACCATGAAGTACTCAAGAATATAACATCATGCTCGGTTTGCAACTTAGCAAATTCTATTCATTCTATAAACAAAATGTGCTTCATTTCACCTTGATCAAATATCACAATCTAGTCATGCTTTCATAATAAAACATATTATCAAATGATCATGCTTCTTTACTTAATAAAAACATCATCAGATCACTTAGTCAAATAATTCTTCAAACACAGTGAACTAGCAAACATATACTCTGTGTAGTAAATCTCCACTAAAACCTTCATAACATACTCATTTTTAATCCAAATTCAACGAAATCAAGCCAAAATGTGCGTCAAGATGGTCCCAAAGAGCCGAGCCACAAGGGCCCGTAACACTCGGCCCGAAACGACACGTAGCTGAGCCACAAGGGCCTGGCCACTGCACAGATTCTCCTCAGAATCAAAGTCAGGGACCTGGGGCGGGACTCCTCATGATCCGCCCCTTATATCCCGTCACTCCACCGGGACTAGGCGGTGGCCATCCTCTAGGGCCGTGCCCTAGTCCCGTGCCACCACGGCTCTAGCCGGTTGTAACACCCCAGATTTTTGAAACTTTTAAAACTTATATAATAAAGATAATACTATTATTAATATCGAAATAGAGCATTACTAAACATAAGAGTTTGGGGTGCTATGCCACATCTGAGCTGGAGAACTCAGATGCACAGGCTATACTAACTAAATATCCTTAAAGCAATGTCAATACATCATCATGGCACGCAGGCCGAAAGGAAAACTAACTATCTAAGCCTTGGTCCTCTAGCGCGCTCCGGAGCTACTCATCTGTTCCTGAAAGCCAAATATATCAGTTCAGCGAATAATGCTAGTAACCCACTCCAACGCGTTAAAATACAATATAGGTATATATATATATATATATAGGAAAACCATTTTGAAGCCAGAAGATATATACTTAGGAGACTCTAGCTTTAAAAACCGAGAATAGACTCAACAAGTAGGGACAAGCACATTCAACAGTTATAATCATGCATATAAAGATGCTAGCATATATCCTAAGGTCACAAGATTATTTCACATCATTCATATTATCATTCAATCATTATCTCAACACATAAGCACACTTTGGTGGCGCCACAGGACCAATCGCACGCCCATACATGAGGGTCAGCGCATATAGCTCTGACACGGCCCCGCAGCACCCTGCCTCGTATCGCAACACGAAGGGGTCGATCGCAACCGACCGATGAACCGCAGCTCATCATAATGTTTGATCGCAACCAAACAGTGGACCGCAGCCCAAAAGTGTATTTCTGATATCAACCAGATTATGAACCGCAGCTCATGTAAAACGTTTGATCACAACCAAACAGTGGACCACAGCCCTATATAATATTTATATACCTGACCGATCGCAACTGGCCTGGTTAACAGTTGGTATGGTTCTCAACCCATCCAACTGCCCGTATAGCCAATTTGATCGCAACCAAATTGGGGTATCATGCACACATAACACATAGCAAGCACATGCAACCCACATTAACACATTGGGGAAGGGGAGAAAACGTATAAACAAACCTATGCGTGGTCATCCACATACTAGGAATAATCCTAAGGGGTTCATACATCTTTCACCTAGGCCAACGGGATACCAATTCAACTAGCATGCAATACACAAGACTCTTTTATCCTACGAATGGTACCCGAAACATCAAACTAGACTCAGGCACGATAAACAGAGTCCGTTGGGACACCACGAGGGTCGGGGAAACCACCATCCCACATTGGGATTTTCCAGCGGGTGGAGGACCACCCGCCAGTTGCCCGCTGCCGGCGACGCCCAATAGGGGCAGCGGGTAGGTGGCGGGTTCCCCTACCGCCCACTGACTCTTTTTCAATACTTTGGTCCCGGGATCTTTTGTGGAACCCGAAACCATTTTTAGACACTTTTAAACGCAAAAGACGACACCACGTAGTCAAATAATGGATCAAAACCAAGAATCACATTGAATATATCCTAACATGACTTCTAAACATAATCAACACCCGAACATGCGAATTCCCACCCAAATATATCAAGAATATCACAATGCGAATTTCACGATTCAATCCTAGGGCTCTAATCATATTTAAATCACAAAATCATACTTTTATCTCTAGAATCAAGAACATCAAGACTTATCAAGAATCAACACACAATTATCAAGATCCTCTTATAATCATCAAGATTATCAAGATCAACACATAAGATCATCTCATCAACATCAAGATCATATCATAATCATCATAAAAGATTTATCAAGACACAAACATAGAATAAGGAGCCAAAGAAGAAGATTATAGCAAGGAAAATAGGTTTTGTTGAGACATGGGTTACCTCTTAGCCTTAATTAGATTCCTTGGCTATAAAGCGTCTTTCTCTAAGATCTCCTCTTCTTGATTTCTCCTATGGGAATTCTTGGGAATTCTTGTGTGGTGAAAGCTATTGTGGTGTGAGTTCTAGGTGCCTCCTATGTCCTTATATACATCTAAGAGTCCTAATTAGGGTCTGAATGATA